TCCTAAAGGAGACTTTAACTTTTACCAAAGTATCTCTTTCTTTCTTTCTTTCTTTCTTTCTTTCTTTCTTTCTTTCTTTCTTTCTTTCTTTTTTTATCAAGAAATTCACAATAACGAGTTAGCCTACTACTTTAATTTAGCTTCAGGATATCACACAGCCACGCATGGAAGTATGCAGATATTTTAACTAAATGTGACCACGCAATATTAATGTCATTTTCACGAACATCCTTTGTCTGTAGCGGATATTTCAAAATAAAAGTCTGATTTATTTCCCTTCCGGGGCGTTACAACAGAGCTGATCTGTTAGCAGCTAAGCTATTAGCACAGAGAGCCATTGAGAAGCTGTTCCATTTTAGCTACCAGAAAACTGCTGCTAACATCRTCACATTCAACAGAAATTCATTTAAAACGCACAAACCTGATAAATGCAGCTGATCGCTGACACTGTAAACAGGATCTGGTTTGTTTTTCTGTCTGTTCCTGATCAGCAGATCTAAAATCCTCTCCATCCAGGCTGCTGTCTCTTCATCTGTTAGCTCCCGCCCAGCACTAACCCAGTGTTACAGCTCAGCATAAAACCCGTCTGACCAGCAGCTCACATGAAACACGGTTAGCTCGTAGCTACAAAACAATGGCGACCAACTGCGGTGCTGAAAGACTTCAGTTTACTGGCTGGCCTTCAAAATAAGAGCTCGAAGCTCTTATTTTGAAGGCCAGCCCCTGACGGAAGTGATGTTCTACTTGCACGTCCGCAGCAGACAGGCAATGAACGAGCTAACGACAGCCATTTCTCGACTGCTGGGTCCTGTCGCTTCATGCAGAGTTAAACCGAGCTGTGACATGTCGGTAACTGTTGCTGAGATGTGGAGACACCAGGCTGAAGTAGAGCAGGAAGAAACGTCGGAGGATTTTAGATCTGCTGATCAGGAACAGACGGAACAGGACGCGGTTTCCATCGATCAGCTGCATATATTAGGTTTGTATCTTTTTATTCTTTCTGGAGGTCTTGTGTTGCGGTTGATGAACGAAGTCCACAAAATCTCTAAAGTGAAGGCTGCATCTGAGTATCCTTCCCGGCAGAGGATAGCCCAGGATTCAATGCGACGTCAGCAAATATGACAGAAAAAAATAAAATAAAAAGGGAGGACAGAATGTGCGTGTGTGTGAACGTGTTTTTACTATCTAGTGGGGACGTTTTTTTAGGCCATTTTCATTACCTACATGGTGTCCTGATGCATCTCAGTAATCCAGGTAAAAAATCAAAATGAAAAAACTTGCATAGTTCTGTACGGGTTCTTCTCTAATGAAACGTTTCGTCTCTCCTCCAAGAGCTTCTTCTTCTAAACTGGCGTATATCGTAAGTCCACCCACACAGACCAATATTTGCGTTTTGACTCCCACCAACCACTGGAACACAAGTTAGGAG